AGCATGGTCTGACTTCTAGACTAATACTATTGGACTTTCTCTAAGCTACTATCAATATCTGCCTTATAAATTAACATTTTTGTGACACTGAATATCAAAGAATTTACTCTAAAAAAATAAATAAATAAAAATCTATTATTTATTTTATACCTTTGAGTCAGTTTGTTTAATTCTCAAAGTTTGCATTCCTTGTTCAAGTCTTTAATGAAATCACACTATACTTGTTTTAAATCTAATCTACTTCTGCTGCATCTTTTATTCATCAGAGTTCAGATGAGATGTTTTATTATCTGGCTCATTAGGCTCATAGAGTTCACATTTATTTGCACCTAGCTTCTTAGGCAGTGCTATGAAAATGGATCTAATTAGGTCTTCTAGTATATCACCACAGTTGTATATTTAATTTATTTTGTCTGTAATCTTTTTGTCTTGACAAATTATCTAAGGCTGCCAGCATCTCAATTACAATTCCGTCTGGCCCTGCTGAATGTACAGATGAAACACAGGACTTTTCTCGAAAGCTCTTGGTCAATTAGTAAATAGAAAAAAGTGATTTATTAACCAAACCATTGCAACAGTTTGCTTTTTTCCCCTCCAGTTGGGACAGTTTATGATCACTGTAAAGTAATGCTTTTGGGGAAGGCATGAAACCAATTCCCCATAATGATAGATAAAAGCAGTGCATTTAGTCTTTAGCTTTTTAAATTTATCTTGGGCATTCAATGGTAGAGTGTTCCTTGCTATCACATATTATTTAGAAACAAGATGGTTCCATCACATTACACTGGGAGATGCTGTAAGAGAGAGAGAGAGAGAGAGAGAGAGAGAGAGAATTATTCAACATGGAAAGAAAATAACCTAATGGGTGATAGAGAATGTCTGTTTTCAGGTTAGGAAAATCCCTCAACATTCTTTTTAGGGTTTTATTTTTATCACACAATTACCATACTCTATTTGATTAGGTCACTGACTATTCCAGGTAGAGGCAACCTTTTTTGAGTGAGTCCTAGGTAAGATGATAAACTACGTCGGGCTGCAAGGCCTCTGATCAGGAGGTTTTGAGGAGCATTGAACCACCTCTTAATTGCTGGTGTTCTCAGGTCCACCCTGACCCAGAGTGGTAGCACCTGTTAGGGTCCCAGCTATGGGCAAACAGTTAACTCTCAAACTGGGGTCAAAACACTATGAAAGTGTAAAAATAGGTTTTAATACCAGAAATACTTTGTAAAAAAATTATTACCAGCGATACATTTTGAAAAAAAAATTACCAGCGATATATATTTGAAGGAAAATCATTACCAGAAATAGATTTTTGAAAGAAAAATATTGCCAACAATAAAAAATTTTGTTGGCATTAAATAACCCATTGAGGTTGATATGCTGTAAAACAAAACAAAACAAAACAAAACAAACAAAACCTTTTTCGAGCAGTCGGACAGATGATCTATGGCTCATTACAAGGCGGACTGCTAAAAAGATTCAAGGCAATTTAATTTTTCGTAGTAGGTACCTTAGCTATTTTCAGTACAGAAGACTATAAGCATATACCTTAGAAATGGTAGTTTTAATTTTTAGAAAATATTTTTTATAATTAAAAAATTGAAATCCTTGTAAATTTCCCCTGTAATGAAGTTCAGACACTTACCACACCTTCAGATAAGACAGAGTGCCCATCTCCTCTATTTGTATGTTACTACTAGCAGTCAAATAAGAAACCCTGACTCAACCCCTATGTATATTTCCTCTGTAATGAAGTTCAGACTCTTACCACACCTTCACCTAAGACACAGCACCCATCTCCTCTACTTGCATTTTATTACTAGCAATCAAGTGGGAAATACAGATTCAGTCCTTTTGTAAATTTCCCCTGTAATGAAATTCAGACACTTACCACATCTTCACATAAGAAACAGAACCCATCTCCTCTACTTGCAATGTTACTACTATCAGTCAAGGGGTAAACCTTGATTCAGTCTCTTTGTAAATTTCACCCTTAACAAAGTTCAGACTTTTGCTACACATTCACATAAGACACAGCGCCCATCTCCTCTACTTGCATGTTTCTACTAGCAGTCAACTGAGAAACCCTGATTCAGTCCCTTTGTGAATTTCTCCTGTAATAAAGTTCAGACTCTTATCATACCCACACAGAAGACACAGCGCCCATCTCTTCTACTGTATGTTACTACGAGCAGTCAAATGAGAAACCCTGACTCAGCCCCTTGGTTGGAATTCCATTGATAATCTCTTTCCACACTGTTCAATTCTGCATTGTTGTTCCCAGATCCCCAATGTCCAACCTTGAGTCCCGAGCTAAGGTGTCTGGGAAAGTCAATTTTTGTGAGAAGACAATGCAGATAAAGGAATCTGTGGCAAACCATTATCGCCTACTTCCTTAAAGAACATGGCATTAAAAAAGGACTTCTTTATCCATAGTTTTTCCCACATCTTTAAAAGATATTCAGAACATGCACAACCTGTCTGAATTTCTGGGATGAGGAGTTATCATTGTTTATATTTGTTGGTGTTATGTATGCTTGGCTGTTGTTTTCCTCGACCTTCCTTTGGTGTTTATCGATCTGGGTAACCTACAGGGAATTCTGAACTGAACCCATCTATGGTGGTAAATTGTTATTGCTCCATTGCTTATGTCTAGGGATATCATCCAGTTCTGATTTCTATTTTTAGTACTGTTCAGTTATTGCTCGCTCGTTTCCACACTGTCTGACCCAGGGATTGAACGCATAATCAATATGTCAACAAAGTAATTAAGCAAAGACTGTTTTTAATTATTTATTTATTGTGATTCAGGAATGTTAAACTAAACAATAAACTTCTTTTTAAATCCATGGCAACATTACCTTTAAAAAAAAAAAAAATTTTGAAACACGCATGCGCAGTGAACCGGCAAAAATGGTGTTTATTGTTTTGTTTCATTTACAAAAACAGCAGACTTGCTCTATTTCCTGACAGAAATAAACACTGAATGAAATATCCTACAGCACAGGTGTAGAAACAGTTTCTTACAATTAATAATAATTAATCAAGTTTTATAAGATGCTGACAGATAAATAATATTTTTGTAAAAATTTAAATTCTTGAAAAGCGAGTAAAAAACAAAAAGATTTTATTTTCTGTTGCATTGCATGTAAAAAATTCTTTTAAAATATATGATTATAATAACTTAAGCTAAATATATAATTTCCTAGAATTGTACACTGTACTGTACACTTTGACAGTGTGTACTGTGTAGTGTACAGTACAGTTTGAAATTCCATTACTTCAATCATCAATGTGGTTAATTAATAAAACAAAGAAATTAATTTCCAATATTTCAACCTGCTAGAAAATATTTTTCTAACACAATAGAAATCTAGTTCCACGAAATATAATGCAAATCGATAACTGTTAAATATAAACACGTCTAAAAAAAACAAATAAATTAGTCATCAACAACAACCGATAAAATCAAGCAGACGCAACTGGCCGCCATTTATGACTCAACCGGTATACCTCCGCAGTAAATAATTTCCTTTGTTATTTCCATAAAAAAATAAAGGAGAAAATATATGTAAATGCATTTTAAAATTTTATAAAAATATTGGAAATAGTTATATTTAGAAAAACCGTTTGAAAAAAAATTAATATTCATCCAATGATAAACATTGTAGACCGATCATTTCGTTTGTCTTGTACGAGGAGACCAAGCGCCGAGGGAGAGAGTTCAGTGGAAAGATATTTACAAGTAACAGGTAAGAATAAAAAGAGTTTTTTTCTTTCCCTCTCTTTCTTTTAACTGCCGGTTCTGGCTGTAGTAATTCAAAAGAGAATCACTGAACAGATTCTTTTTTTTCTTTTGTTTTTAACTGTGTTCTTTATGATAAAACAACGAAAAAGAAACGTTTTTTAATCATGGAAAGGGCGTGAATGTTTTTGCAATGAAGAGGCCAAATCCAAAAAAAAAATGCAGATTTTTGTCGCATATTCAATATTGAATCGATTATTTCTCGATATTCTGTCTTCTTTGATCAGCTTAGAATTTAGGTAATTATTTTTAAAAAACCGTAGGGGTTCAGACTGTTTTTAAAATATCTTCTGTTGGTCTTGAAAAATCAAAGATTTTCCCCTAAAAATCCCCAAAAACTAAAAGACAGGAACCAGATTTTTATTTTGTCGTCGATGTCTTCTTCGGAAATTTATTTACTTTTTTTCCAGTTTTTTCTCATTTGAAAAACATTTAAAATCTAAAATTAGTTAAATAAGTAATTGTTATTTATATAAAATCTTTTCAGACTTGATTAAAATTTTTTTCTTGGCGATTTTGTTTTTAAAATTATTTCCCATTCTTTAGTTTTAAAAATATTAAAAAAAAACAAAAAACAATTTGGGCTTTTTAAAAAAATTCCGGAAATATCGGGATGAATAAATTTAATTTTAATTTAAATTTTTAAATTTAAAAAAAAGACGAATTCATATTATTTTCTTTTTGTTAAAATCGCATTTAAAATTGGATCTTCTTTATTTGAAAGATTGGCGCAACACAATCTTCCTTTTATTTAGCCTTAACCAAACTTAGTAAGTAAATATCAAGTAATAATGAACAATTAATTATAATAATTGGATAGAAATATTCTAAAAATCTTTCTTTTTTATCCTAAAAAGCCTAATTTATTGATTATTATTATTGTGAGAAAGTAAAACTAAAAATAGTTTTTTTTAGTTTTTCATGTTTTTTCTTCTTTAATTTTTCTTTTTATTAAAATTAAACAAATTTCTTGTTTTATTTTTTATTTTGTTTTAAATTTTTTTTAGACAATGATTGTTGGAAAATGGAAATCTGTTTTTTTGGCTAGAAGAAGTAGTAATCTTTTATTTTCTGATTAAATTCCTTTCAGGGTAAAAATGGCTAAATAAAGAAATCGGCAAAATGTCTTGTATTTTCTCTTCTAATATTTGAGAATTTGACTCTTGGTTGTGTTAGGAAAAGGAAGAAAGGACTCATGTCAATTTGTTTCAATTTATTAATTCTTCCTTTTCCGATATTACAAGCGTTATTAGTAAATAGCAAATATGGAAAAATAGTGAAAAAAAAACACTCAATTCATCTGTGCTTATATATATTCATATCTATCTCTATCCCCTTTTGTCTGACTATCTGTATATCTATATTTGTCAATCTATTTTTGACGATAATTTATCTGTCTTCGTCTATCAATGTGTCTATTCGTCTGTCCTTATCTATCTATCTATCTGTCTATCTATCCTTCTGTCTATCTATCTATCTATCTATCTATCTATCTGTCTGTCTATCTAGCTGTCCTTCTGTCTGTCTGTCTATCTATCTAGCTGTCCTTCTATCTATATTAATCTGTCTCTCCCTGTATCCCTTTTTTGTCTCTCCTCAATTTATTATCAATTTCTCTTTTTTTCAATATGACAAGTGTTATTATGCTACACATGAACAACACTCAACATCTGTGTTTATCCCTTTTTTTTTGTTTGTTTCACCCTTTTTCTATGTAACTCACCCCTTTTTTCTCAGAGAAAAAAATGGTGAAACAGAAAAAGAGTGAGGAACATAGACAGCAAAGAGGGTGATTGAGAGAGACAGAAATGGTGCAAAACAGAGTAAAAAAGGGTTGTCGTAGGAAAAGAAAGAAAGAATTAATGTGAATTTCTCTCAATTTATTATTAATTCCTCTTTTTTGTTATTACAAGCATTATATGAACAACAACCCTTAACTCATCTGCGCTTATTCATATTTAATCATAATCTATTTTCATTCCTTTTTCTCTCTGTCGATTTATTTGTTGATCTATCTGTCTGTCTTTTTTTGTCTATCTCTCCTCTGGGCATTAACAATTTCTCTTTTTTTTTCTTTTTTTTTCAATATGACAAACATTGTTAATGTTGTTAAGGTACATATGAAAACACTCAACATCTGCGATTATTCATATCTATCTATCTATCCCATTTTTTTGTTTGTTTCACCCTTTTTCTATGTATCTCACCCCTTTTTTCTCAGAGGAAAAATGGTGAAATAGAAAAGAAAGGGTGAGATTGACTATCTCACCCTTTTTCAGTCAATCAGGAAAGGTGTTAGATATGAGTAAACATAGATGAGTTGAGTGTTCATATGTATCATAATAACACTTTTGTCATATCGAAAAAAAGAATTAATAATAACTAAGCCCAAGTTCACATTAATTCTTTCTGTTCCTACAACAATAATTTTTTTTCTATCTCACCCTTTTTTTCTCTTTTGCCCCTTTTCTGTCTCTCTCAATTTCCCCCTTTTTTCTGTCTCTCAATCACCCCTTTTCCATCTCTTTCTCTCAATCACCCCTTTTCCATCTCTTTCTCTCAATCACCCCTCTTCCATCTCTCTCTCACTCACTCTTTTTCTGTTTGTTTATTTCACTCACTCTTTCTATCTATCTAGTTTTGTTAAAAATATATGACTATATATTGTTTTAAAAATAAAATTTATATTCTGAGTTTATTTTATTGAAGGCAATTAATTACTGAAATGTAATTTAATGATTTCTCCAGAGCTGCTATTGTTTTGTTTTTAGTCGTCATATTAAAATTATCCTAATAATCAGAATTCATTTCTTTTGGAATAAATTAAATCAAGGTCATAGTTACAATTGGAAAATGTTAGGATTCCCACTATTCAGCCACTAGTTTTTAAATCTATCTAAAATTAGTGTAAATTTATCATTGGAATGATAATATATTTAAAAATAGTCACTAACTCCCAAGTACTGTAGTTTGTAGATTCCATCTCTTCTCTTCTCAAATAATAACTGTGTTTGTATCAAGTTTCATCATATGTGGCGTGGTATATACTATTATCTACTTGAGAAAGTGTGGATTGGACTCTATTCTGATCAGAGACTTGTAGCAATGAGTGTACTTATACTTGATTGATGTAACATCACCAAGACTATTAGGTAACCTTGAAGGCCCAGGAGATCCCCAAGAATGTATTTAGCAGTATAGACTTTTCTCTTGGCCAGTTATCAGGTTGAAGCAGGGGGAAAGAAAGATGAAAAAGTATATTTTCTTTCTTTTTCGATTATCAAACGGAAAGAATGGCGATTTACTGGGCAATACTAAATCATTCCATTCATTTTTATATTTTGCTATTGACTTAAATTACAAAGACACTAGATTCCTTTCTTATTGATGGCCTTTTTTTTTCTTTTTTAAACAAGAGCCTTTATATTTTTATTACTTTTCATGTAATATTGATTCTTTTACAGTTTTTAACCTTTGTGCCTGTAAAGAAACAGTGTGTTAAAAAGGACAGGTATTCCCTTGACATCACTATTATTACTGTATACACATTCTATTTATCTAAGAAAATTTTGTATTTGTGTTTGCATCTCTATTCAAATTGGAACCAGTTTTAGTTCTATCTTTTGGGCTAATTGCATTCCTTTCATGATTTTATGGAAGATAAAGGTTTTTCATATAAATTTAGCTTTGTATGAATATGTTGCAGTCCAAAATTGTCTGGTCAAACTTGACAAGCAATCAATATGGTTCCTCTCTTCTTACTCTGTCAGTTTCTGCCAAAATAATTTTCTTTTGAGAAATTCTTTTCATCCCTACAGAAGAAAATTTGGGGTTATTATTGTTAATTTAAATTTCTAGTTGTAGAAGTTTGTTTTATTATAGAGAGAAATTAATTCCTGAAAAACAAATTCTTTCAGTATTTTTACTCATGCATAATTTTCAAGGTCTGCATTTATTTTTGCATATTCTTTTTCAGAAATAAATTTCACAATTATTTTTAAGAAATGTTATGTGGAATTCTGTTTGGATAAGTTCCCCCTCCACTCTTATTTTCCTGCTTCTATCAACATTTTCTACAGACTTTTGGTAGGGTGGAGTAAATTCTTTTTTCATATATCAGAGTTACCCATGTAGAAAACTAAAAAGTACAGATGGTTGTAATGAATAATGAAAGTGTTTGTAACTTTTCACGTCCATTCAAGGACACGTCATTTCATCCATGTGTTTTGGATTTGGGCAAAACAAATATTCATGGTCTTATAAATCTGTGAGAAGTTTGTTTGCTAATTTGACAAATGAAATCATTTTTCATGTTCAGTTTTATTATTTTGACTGCTTATGTACTTGATTCAATTGATTTACTTTCTGATCATCATTAAAGTGACATAATTTTTTGAGTTGTGCTAAAGCAATACTTTTTGTGAAATTTTCAAAAATGAACTTAATGAATTTTTAAACATGGGAATAAAATTCAGTATTTTTTAAACCTATCAGCAAAGTTAATAAATGTTTCAAGGTGAACTACTATTGCAATTGTAGTTTCAAATACATTGTATGGATCTATTGTTTTTATTTTCTTTCAACTGGTTCAGTTTCCTTTTCTTTAAATTATTTTTCCCAAGAGGAAAAGACATTAAACTCAACTGTATGTTTCTAAATATTTTCAGAAAAAGAAAACAAATGTTTGATGTTTTATATTAGGAGATAGGTTTGCAATAGGAGTAGATAAGTTTGACTACCGTCCGGTTCACACTCCTCTTCGGTCTTTCAAACAGGAGAAGAGGTTTATCTTTTGTTTTCTGTTTAGGGTTGGTTTTCTGGTTTCTACTTTAATCTACTTCAGTTCTATACTTCTAACACTTGACTTATACTAATACAACTCCATGCAGTAACACTCTACCTTGAATGGCTCTTGGACCTTGTATTGGGTGAATATTAGTAAAAAAAAAATTAAAAAAATTGAAATTATTAAAAATATATTTTCCTCCTTATATGAAAGTCAGTATTATTGATCTTTCAAGATTTGGCACTTTAGTCTAGAATAGCATTGATTCTGAAAGGATAGTAATAGTGAGAAATCTCTTGATTTTATTTGCTGCCTATCTATTTATAATAATAATAATAATAATAATAATATATGATGGAATATCAACCTGTAACTGAATGGGACCATTTTTTATACTAATTCAGTTTTTCTCAAAACCATTTCTTGATGTTTTCTTAAGTGCTTTTTGAGCCTTACAAGAGATTTGCCTTTCACTCTGCATGTGGTGCATGTGAATTTACTGCTAAACACAAGCTCACTTGAATGTGTCCTTATGAAAATGCTAAGTCCACTTGATGATTTACAAACCTTACCATGGATGTTGCCTCTCAAACCTTGCTACATATTTTATGTTTGCTGTATGGTGCCAACTAGATCTGATTTTATCAGTTTTAGATAAACATCATGGATCTTAGAATTTTAAGTATTCCCTCAGCTCCAACAATCTCTCTCTCTCGTATTTCATTTCCAAATGACAAATTAGTCTTCTCAAAATTTTGCAATCATTGATCTACAAATAGCCATTCTTGTTTGCATATATATATATATATATATATATATATTTTAGTGGATACCCATATTTGTGTAGATGCTTCATTTATTTTAAACTGTATTTTATTTTGTCTATAGGCCTGCAGATAAACAGAGCGTCTACACAAATATGGGGGTTTACTAAAAATAATGTTATATATAATTTTTTAAAATTGAAAAATTTACTTACTGCAAATTAATATCCATTTTTATGATTATTTTTATTCCTCTCCTTATGACATAGTTTCATAGTTCACATCCACTTTTTAAAGGTTTAAATGTTTTTTTATATAAATGTCCATTTTTTTTTTATTTGCATTTTGTTTTACTTTTTTATATAATTAATACAAGTAAAAGGTTTGTTACTTTGCTGATTGATGCTATCTTCAGCACTTCAGCATCCCAACTCCGGAGTTTCGTAGATGGATCCTCTGGGAATTACTCCATTCACTCATCAGGTGTATCCCAGCATATATATATATATATATATATATATATATATATATATATATATATATATATATATATATATATATATATAATAATATCAAATCTGTAAGTGGAAAGGATAATCCAAGTAGGTCTTTTAATATAAAATATTAAAAAGATGTATTGTATACAGAGCAATATGATATACATCAAAGGAAAAACTTAACACATTTCAGAAAATCTGATAATAAATTTATTTCAGCAGGTAAGTTTTTAATACCTGCCTCATCAGACCAAAATTACAAAATGGTTTAAATTTATTCAGACAGTATGTTAAAAAAAAATTTTTTAAATTTAAAAATAAATCACAATCTAACATGTCTGGATAAATTTTAATCATTTTGTAGTTACGGTCTGATGAGGCAGGTATTAAAAACTTACCTGCTGAAATAAATTTATTATCGGATTTTTTTGAGATGTGTTAAGTTTTTTTCCTTTGATATATATATATATATATATATATATATATAATTTTGCAACGAGAACATGACTCAATAAATGCTCAATTCACATAAGATGTCTCTGGACCGATTTTTTTCACTATCTCCCCACACTTTTTAAAAAATATCATTTTTAACCTGGCATTCACATTTATTCGTTTTTTTTTTTTGTTTTTTTATTATTATTATTAATTTTGTATGTATAGATTTATATTCATAGCCTCTTCTGGGAGTAAATATCAAAAATCTTTATGTAAGTGTAATGGTGTCAGCACCCATAGAATTGGAATTTTCAGGAGTCCAGTTAGTAATTATGTCTTCTCTATTTCTCTTCAATCATCCTCATCCTCTTTTCTTTGATATTATTATTCCAGGTGTTGTCTATTGTCATTTTATGCTTGTTAATTGCTTATGACATCAAGTTTCTTGAAATCTTGCAAAAAGCAATGACAAAGCCTCTCTGTTTATGATATTCTTTATTTCTTTGATATTGTCATTTATATTTTGTAAGATTTGGGAATTTTCTTAACGGCAATGATGTCTTGAAATATTGTGAAAAAGTTACAAAGTGATTTTAGCTATTTGAAATTTTGTCATGCTGCACAAACATCTTCAAATGTTTTTATCAAAAACCAGAAAATTAGGAACTTTTGTTTTTGTATTTTGAGACATTTTCTTTTTCTTTTCTTTTTTTAGGTTATAAATTATCAGCCAAAAACTTTTGTTTTTTTACTTTTTTTCCAAAAATTC